TGCCGTTTCCGCCACAGTGTTTCATCCAACTCTACCACTTGTTGCATCATGTTCAGGACAAAGGAAATTTGAACTCATGCCCGAAGAACCTAACATGGACGAACAAACTAGTCATAAAACTAATCATGATAATTCTTTTAAAGTATGGAAAGTAATGGGACAATACGAATGGCATCATTATGATGTGGTTTCGGATAATATTCAATTATTATAGGACAGAGTTGAATTATTATCTTAAAACTTTTCCCTAAATTCATGTTTTGTCTTTTAACAAAGGAATGTTTCATATGTTTTGCATTAACTGGATATGAAGCATAATAATTATTGAAACATGCTAATTTTAATTTTACAAGTAATGATGTTATTATTTTTGTTATTACATATTTGGTTGGTGACTCAGCAGGGGCTTTAAATTATTTATGAAGCAAACTAAACGTAGCAGTAAAAGGTACATGTTTTTATTGTGCTTTTTTTTTCACTATAAATTTATATTCTTATTCAAAGCGTAATTACTTTCATAGTATGCTAAAAAGGACAGATAAGCAAAAGAAAATTAAGCAATTTTTAGCAGTTTGACTAGAGCATGAGGTAGATATAAAAGAAATTTGCTAAAATTTATATATTTGAAATACCTGCAGAACTTAATAACAACACATTAAAACAATGTCGATCATAATACTTTCAAATTCTTATATGATTCGTTATTTAGATTTGATTATCTAAATGATAAAAATTGATTAATATTAAAGTTATAAAATTTTAATTAGACATTGCTAAAGATGGACATTGTGCAGTACAATAATGTTATGCTGCATAATATCGTGACACGTGATAAAATTTTGGTTTTCAAATACCACTGCCATTGATATATGACACATGTACGAGATTAAACAATTAAGATCGTGATTTTAATTTCTTTATAAGCAATATGCTGCACAGCACACTCGATTAAATGGCGTAATATATACATTAATCATCTCTAAAAATTATTATTAAAATAAAATCGATTTTTTATTTGTTTATTAAACAAAAAAAATGTATTATAGAATAAAAATTTCTAAACAAGACTTATTTTAAATTAAAAATATATTTAGTATATTAAAAAAATCTTTGAGTAACATTTTTTTATTTTAACTTAATAAATATATATTTAATTAAAACAAAACTTTAAAAATATTTTTTTTCTGATTTAATAAACAAAATATCAAAAAAAATTTTATCAATTAATTAATAATTTTATTTACAAAACACCAAATTTAAACTAAAAAAAAATTGTTAAAAATATTTTAATATACAGTATATATATAATTATGATCAAAAAATAAATTATTTAAATAAAAAATTTAAAATAATTAAAAATTAGAAAAAAATTTATTTTTATTATTTTTATTTAATAAATTCTTATATAAAAATAATTTATAATCTTTTATTCTAATATTTTTGAAAATTGATTTTTTATCAATTTTTTTAATTAAAATTTAAGATCAAATATAATTAAAAAATTTTCTTAAGTAACTATTTTTTATATTTTTAAACATATTTATTTAAATTTTTGTTTTAATTTGTTAACTATTGATCAAATTATATATAAATAAAAAATAATATTTCAAATATAATTAAAGATTTTTCTAATATATTATATATAATAAAATAGATAAAAATTTAATGAATTTATAAAAATAAAGAAAAAAAAATACAAAAATTATTTTGCACATATATTTTAAGTAATCTTATTAAATAAAAACAAATTATAAAAGATAAAATTTCTAAAAAATTATTAGATTAAATAAAAATTTATTTATTTTTAAACTATATTTTTAAAATTATATACAATCTATTTAATAAATAAAATATATTAAAATAATTATAAAAATTATAAAAAATTATTATATTTTTAAATACAATTATAAAAATAATAAATTTATTTATTTATTTTTTTAATTCTATAATTAAGTTGATATCATTTATTTATTAAATCATAAAGAACCATTACAAGTTAAGAATATATACAAAATATAAATTTCTTTGATCCAACCCATCTATCAACAGCCAAAGCCTTTAGATGTGATTTATAGAAATAATATGTTGTTCCCTTAAATGATAGAATTAAGATTCTAAACTTCCAATAGAATCAAAACCTGCAGATCATTTCTACAGTCACAACCATAAATCCAAATTGTGTCACCCCCTTTTATAATAACTACACAAGAGGAAAAAGAAATAAAAAAGGAATTTTTGAATAAAAGAAAAGAAAAAAAGCTATTGTCTATTCTAACTATCATTGAAGAAGTTATCTCTGTAAACATCAAAACCCAAGTTCCTTATGATTTCTTATTTCTTACCACCTGTGGCCAGTCAAACTGTTTAATTTTTATTGAAGCAGTTAATATTCAAGAATGTTTAAGGATACTTTTAGAAAAGTATTTCTTGAGACTTTATATTTGAAAACTTTTAATTAGAAAGAATATTGGTTTTCTATTGTTGATTTCTCTCTCAAGCCATGTCTTCTGGAATTATTGCTTTATTCAACTAGTGGATAGTTTCAAAATTACTTTCTTTAACTATTTTTAAGATAAATATCAATACTTCAACTTGTTATCAGATTGGGATAAGACCTAGACCTTGTTGCTACTTCCTATTCTCAAGAAAGAATAGTGAAGAAAAAAATAAAATAAAAGATGGAAACAAAAAAGAGATCATTTCTCTTCTATTTACAACTTTAACTTTATCTAGTATTTCTATACTACTCTTTCATCTAAAAACTGTCCAACTTTTTCAGGAACCAATTATATCATTGGTTTGATGTTGCACAACTGGAAACACATGAGAAGTACATGTTTTGTTTACTTTTTCTGTAGCTAACATGATCAACCAATCTGTGGCCTTGACCAATCATCTTTCAGGAAATCTGGTATAACCAAAAAATTCAGAATCAAATTGAGATAGACAAAATTCTCCAGAAAAATTAGAAAAAAAGGAAGCACGCTTGAGAAAAAAGAAATGAGAAGCCAAAGAGATAATAGAAAGACTGAAGACTTCTTTATTCTAGTTTTTCTAAATTCTTGAATCTTTTGAGAATTTTTGAAGAGTATTTTTTCTTGTCAGTTTTTTTCATATAAAGATGTTCTTGCCATAGATATTTTAGGTAGGTTTCTTGTATTTAGTTACAAAAATAAACAAGAAGAGTATTTTGAAAAGAAAAAATAAAACAAGTGATAGCTTTTGCTTGCTTTGTTGGTTAAAAAATCAGTGTTATTAAGGAGTATATATTGACTTTATTATTATAAAGACATAAAATCTTTTAAGAATATCTGTTTTTTAGGATTGGCAAAAAGCTCAGCAAAAAGAGTTTTTTTAGAAATAATAAATTTATTATTTATAAATTATTTTAATAATTATATACAAAATTCATTAAAAACAATTATCTTTGACTTCAAAAACATTAGCCCAGAACAATGGAAGAAGTTTTAACAACAAATAGAAGATCAAATTACAAAGCAAAACTCAAAACAAAATATGACAGAGATGGACAGCAACAAACTATGGAACATTACATGGCATGTCATCAGTAAAGCAATGCACCAATATATTAAGAGATGAAAATATCAAAAACATCATCAAGAGAAAAAACTAGCTCCATCCAAAAAGACATAACATCTACTTTTATTAAGAAATATCAATACATGAAGAAATTGTCTTCTCAAAAACAAAGGTGGCCAAGCAAGCAATTTCAAAACTTATAGATGAAATAGAACAAAAACACAAAAACAACAATGATATGCAAATAGATAGGCCAGCTGAAAATGTAGTTACAAAAGAATGACTTCATAATGTATAAAAAATATATAAAACAACAAGAAACCTATTATAAAAAGAAAATTAGAAAAAAAACAGAGCCATCATTAAATGACAAATAGAGGAGACCTGTGAGTCTATAGTATAGTGGTTAACACTTCACAGGTCAAATCACAAGATACCAGTTTAACCTCATGTGAGAGTAGTTGAATAGGAATTAATATGGTATTTGGTGTCATAACCTATATAATCGCTGTTTCTCATAAAAAGCTGTTTCACACACTGATCCAAGTAGACGTTGAGATTGTGATTTCCAAAAAAAGGTGTCATGGCGCGACGATCGTCCAGTTGGTGTTATGATGATCGCCAGAAGTTGCAAGGAGTATAAGGTGTCCACTTTTGATAAAGATGGTTTAGTGATCGTTTCCCTGTGGTACCTAGTGTTTCTTCCTACAGGATAGCCAGAAAGGTCCTATTCCAATCCAATAATAAATCACTCTAAAAGTTACTTATTTCGAGAAGGCGGCCCAGCAATAATACCACTAGATAACCTTGTGGATACCTAAATGGGCAATAAGCCTGGTGACATACTATAAGTTCCTTGAATGTTCTTGGGTAGCTTGAGGGGATGGAAATTAAATGGAAAATGGTGCGTCCAGCTGTAGGTGATCGGATCTGGAAAGATTAATTATAGTGTTCTATTCATCAAATATAGGTACTACTCCCAGTGCCCCAAAAATTTCAAATTCCTCTTAATTTCACACAGTGTCAAATAGAATATCTAATTATACCGATAGAATATATTGCGGTAAGACTTAAGTCGGCAATACATATATAGATAGGCTGCACCTGGATGGTATACCTGTGGGTAAATTCTAATTGAGAGATTGTAAGTGTAGACAGAAATATATAATGTATGTTGTTTACAGCATAATTAATAAATTAGAGTAAAGCTTACTCACAATACTTTAAAAAAAAAAAACAAATAGAGAAAAAAATGTTTCGAATGGAACATAATCCCAAGAAAATGGTTAATACAATCCTAGATTAGCAAAGAACATGCATTACAATAAACAAACTAATAACTAAAACACCAGATATGAATGTTATTACAGACCTACAAGAAATCAAAAGAAAGATAACATCATACTTTTCAAACTCTACAATAGAAACTAGAAACCTGAACAATAAGACCTGGGACAAATGGAAGAAAGAATATACACCATAATCAAATAGTGATATAACATGATATAACCCAATAATATAATCAATATTAATAAGTAAAATCAAAGCCATCATTACCAAAGCAAAAGCAGAGTCAGCTCTTGGAAGATTCAAGCTCAATTATGCCATACTAAAGTATATTAGTAATAAAAAAATCAAAAGAATTACACTAACCTTTAACAAAATCTTGAAATT